CATGAAATTCGAATCCTCAACGCAGACTCCAGCCCCAACAAGGGAGGCACAATTACTCATCGTGTAGTCACAAGCATCTTAATCGGGGGGCACCGATCAACTGAGAGTTTGCTCGTCACAAACCTTGGATGCATGTCAATGATCCTCGGCATGAAGTTCTTACAAGAACACAACCCCCGAGTTGACTGGGAACATAGAGAGGTCACGTTCTCAAGATGCAGACACATGAGGAAGCAACGAGTCAAAGTATGCAAAGAAGAAGTCAACCTTCTATCGCAACCTCAGCTCGAAGATGAAGCAATTCTCCCCGACATACACATGGATGACGGGTGGGATCAGGAAGATAACTTCATCAACTGGATAGACTTGCAAGACCAGGATATTCATAACATGGTGCATGACATCCTAGGCATAAGCAGGAAGGTAAAGGAGCATTTGGTAGAAAAGCCGGCAGAAGAGACACAGGACAAAGAATATTGGTCCAAGTTTGTTCCTCCAGAATTTCATCAATTCGGAGATGTGTTCTCAAAGAAGAGCTCGGAAAGAATGCCGACGCATAAGCCCTATGATCATGCAATTGATCTTGTCCCAGATGCGGCAACCCCGAGACCGGCAAAAGTATACCCTATGTCTTTACGAGAGAAGAACTCGCTCGACGAATGGATTGATGGAGAACAAGCCAAGGGCTACATTCAGCCGTCTAAATCCCCTTACGCCGCTCCGGTATTTTTCGTCAAGAAGAAAGATGGCTCTCTTAGACTTGTCCAAGACTACAGGGCATTAAACAGTGTCACCAAGAAGAACAAGTTCCCACTCCCGTGAATCAACGATCTCATTGATGGACTCTCCAGGGCTAGTATATTTACCATGCTAGACCTGAGATGGGGGTACAACAATGTACACCTTCACAAAGGAGATGAGGAAAAGGCAGCGTTCATTACCCATAGAGGATTATTTGAACCCACTGTCATGTACTTCGGATTCTGTAATGCCCCTAGCACTTTTCAGGCCATGATGAACGACGTCTTAGGCGATCTCATCTGCACTGGAAAGGTGGCAGTTTATATAGATGACATCATCATCTTTACGAATAACCAGGAGGAACATGATCGTCTGACCAAGGAGGTCCTACAACGACTCAGAGACAATGACCTGTTCGTGAAACCAGAAAAGTGTCACTTCGCAACCACTTTCGTCAAGTTTCTCGGACTCATAATCTCAAAAGGATCAATACAAATGGACTCAGAAAAGGTCAACGGTGTGCTCAAATGGCCGGTGCCTACCAAGGTAAAACAAGTACAAGCATTCCTTGGTTTGGCAAACTTTTATCGATGATTCATCAAGGATTTCGGATCGATGACCCGACCCTTGACTCTATTAACCCATAAGGACGCAACATGGAAATGGGAAGAACCTCAACAAAAGGCATTTGAGGCCCTCAAGACTGCATTCACTTCTGCCCCGATTCTAGCGCTCCCCAACGCAGTTCGTCCCTTTAGATTAGAAACGGATGCCTCGGACTTCGCCACAGGTGCGGTCCTTGAACAGTTGGGAGAAGATGAACTTTGGCATCCTGTCGCATATTACTCCAAATCACTCAATGAACATGAGTGAAACTATGAGATCTATGACAAGGAAATGCTAGCCATCATTCGGGCTTTGGAAGAATACCAGCAGTACTTCGAAGGACACCCTCACCCAGTTGAGATATGGTCGGATCACCTCAACCTTACCTATTTCTGCCAAGCTCAAACATTGACCAGACGACAAGCACGCTGGTCACTTTACCTTACGCATTTTAACTTCATTCTCCGTCACCGCCCCGGAAAGACGATGATGCATGCCGATCCTCTGTCCAGGAGGCCAGATCATGAGAAGGGGGTGAGCAATGACAATTCAGGGCAAACTTTGCTTCGGCCTGAATATTTTGCCATCCACGCAATCTCAACCACTCATTCCTCTGAAGTTGATGATGCAAAACTTCTAGAAAGAGTGAAATCGGCACTACAAGACGACGAAATGACCAAAGGTTACCAGCACCTACTAAAAACTGGCAAGCGAGAGTTCGGAAAAGACCTCCAAGAGTGGAACTTCGAGCATGGATTGCTGCTCAGAAGAGGAAAAGTCTACATTCCAAAAGACTCTGCGCTGCAGAATAAGCTGGTCAAGCTGCACCACGACGTCTCCACGGCCGGACACCCCGGACGATGGAAGACACAAGAGCTGATTAGCAGGAATTACTGGTGGCCAGGGCTCACCATTGATGTCAAGAAGTACGTCCAAGGCTGCGTAACATGTCAGAGAAACAAGACAAGCAAGCAAAAGCCTTATGGACTGCTACAACCCAACCCGGTACCAGAAGGGCCTTGAGAAATGGTTACCTGTGACCTGATCACACAGCTACCACCAAGCCCAGACCACAGGGGAGAAAAGAAGACTGCCATTTTGGTAGTCGTCGACAGGTTCACCAAACATGCACACTTCTACCCAGTAGACGACATGGTGACAGCATCTCAAGTAGCATCGATTTTCTACACTGAGGTATTCAAACTCCACGGAATTCCTCGGCAGATCATATCTGATAGAGGCACACAGTTCTCAGCCAAACTATTCCAGGAGTTCTGCCGGAAACTTCACATTAAATCTACGATGTCTACAGCCTATCACCCTGAAATGGATGGACAGACCGAACGAGTCAATCAGATTCTGGAGCAGTATTTGCGCATGTACTGCAATTACCGGCAAACTGACTGGGCTACATTATTGCCCACAGCAGAATTCGCCTACAACAATCAAGCTTCAGAATCGACCGGTCTGTCCCCATTCTTCATCGAGCATGGTCGACACCCCTGCATGGCACCAGATGTACTGGAAGGGATACAACACCCATCCCTGGAACATCTATTCCACAACCACGATCAAGCACAGGAACAAGCTCGTGCCGCTTTATCGTTAGCAGCAGAAAGAATGAAATGGTACTTCGACCTTAAAAAGCAGGATGTCCCTTTCAAAGTAGGAGATGAAGTGCTTATTCGAGGAAAAGATCTCCATGTCAAAGTCAAAAGCCAAAAGCTAGCGACTCAAAACTATGGACCATTCAAAATTCTCGAAAAGATCGGAGCTGTATCATTCAAACTGCAACTACCAGCGGACATGAAGATACATCCCGTATTTCATGCTTCTAAGCTTATAATGTTCCATCAAGACTCTATCCTGGGATGCGTACCTCCCCCTAACCCCCCAGTCATCATTGACGGAGAGGAGGAATGGGACGTAGAAGACATCCTGGATTCAAGAGTCAGGTATAACAAAACCCAGTATCTCGTGAAATGGTTGGACTATGACCACAGCGATAATACCTGGGAACCATTGGAAAACCTCACGAACGTCAAAGACAAAGTAGAGGAATTCCACAAGACACACCCAGACGCTCCAAGAGCAAAGCCGCGAACACGCAAAGTGCACAAAATCGCTCTGTCTGATCACCCTGATGAATTCATGATCTTCTTTTGCACCCATCCAAATGCCAGAGCACCCTACAAGGGTTCTGCAGAAGCTGTTGGCTGGGATGTCAAGTCCATACAAGACATAGATATCCCCCCACACTCCAGAATGCTCATTGGCACTGGACTTGCGGTTGATCCCCCAAAGTGGACATACATTTGAGTGGCTTCCCGAAGTGGGCTAGCCCTCAAAGGAATCGATGTCGCAGCAGGGGTAATTGACCCAGACTACACAGGGGAAATCAAGGTGCTTCTCATTAATACGACCAGCAAACCATTCGAGGTCAGAACAGGTGATCGTGTCACACAACTCATATGCGAGCGTTATGCTCCAGGAATCATTTCTGAAGCAGATAGCTCACTCGCAAAGTGAACCATACGAGGCACCAAAGGCTTTGGCTCATCGGGACGATGAACCTTGAGAAGGGGGTGATGTCACAGTTTTACCTGACAAAGTCATTATAGGAACAAATGCTATTAAGGAGCATATCATTTTTCATCATTTCTCATCGCACAAGAAGTCACGTGACCTAATAAGATAAGATAATGAGGCATCCAGTCACATGACCTCAGATCTCTCTCGGCATTGTCATGTGACACCGAACTCCTCGGCATGGTGTCATATGTCGCAATCGCCATGACGTCATATTGCATGCTCAAGAGGAGCTCCGTCTCTGTGAGTTATTATTAGGCAGCCAATCAGGATAATTGGGACATGTCGTACGATTGTAGCACTGACCAGTAGAATAGCATGTGACTCGCTTAGGTAGTACTGTACAGTAGCATAGCAATCATGTATATAAGGACCAGCGAGACGAGGAGGAGACCTCAGTCTTATTCTCCTTCGTCCTCCACTACCATCACAGAGGGGTCTTACCAGACACTCTCAGTGTGCTATATATCTAGTATCATCCTCATCCGTGATAGTGCCCCTCGCCTCGCCAGTAAGTCTTACATTGCGACTAGCGACTCGGCCTCGTCAGTGGGCACATCGTATCGCCACAGCTCATCACTGTAGGCTCTCGGCCAGGAGATCCTCAAGGGAACTCCTTATTTTGGTTGTTTATCTTTGTCATCAGCGTGCCGTGACAAGGATCAAATACGCCTACATCGGGAAGCATATTGCTTCCGTCCACCTCAAATCCACCATATGTTTCTGCCTGCTTTGCAGGGCATCCTTCTCTAGAATTGATGCACTCAGAAGACACCAGGCATCGGGTGTCTGCCCCACACCAAACCAGGCTGGTGGTAAGCACATCTTTATTCTTTGCCAATGCAAATTGTTCATGAGCACGTCATGGTACAAAAGGCATCCCCCAGCAGTGAATGTCATCACCACACAACTTGATGCTCCGTGTTTCTTTTGTTTCGCTGGCTAGTTGCTGCTGGCCAGCACTCTGTGACCTCGTGCGAGCATGTTCTTTCACAGTACATATCCTACCTTCCAGGTGCAGTATTTTATTTAAATGTCGATGTTGATCATCAACTATCTCTGAATTATGGACAGTTGAGGCATTTGATGCTCATCTCATGACTGAAGTATTCTGTGACCTGGATCTCCCGATGACCCTGAGTCTACAGCCACCAACATTAACATTTCCACCTGCATGCTCGACAGAGATTCATCAGAGCATTTTAGCCTTGCCAAGACGCCGATTCATCTTTCGAGTGAGAACCACCAGTATCTCTCAAGCAGTAGTATCTGTGAATTGCTGATCAGTATCTTGCCGCAAATCTTCTCTTACCTTCATCAGTTCCCTGTCAATTCGAGACACTACCTAGAAAATGTGAAGATGTTTATGGTATATTTCAACGGGCAGGTTCTGATGATGCAGTCGTTATTCACCCTCTTTCTCATAATTTTACATCTGACAACCTTCTGTGACATGAAATCTGACCCTCGATCGCGCCGACCAACAGAACCCAGTATGCAATGAACATCATTCACCCGTGCTGAGTGTACGAGTATTAGTATGATAGTGGCTCGACACGGGCCAACTCACCATCCACACATACACTTCAGCCTGCATTTTTTGCTATCATGTGGCAGCAGCGACCATCACGCCCAGATCATGTCCAATCAGAGCAACTTGGATCATCAGTGACACTGACTTACAAGGTGACTCGCTGATTGAAACTGATTTTGAGATTACATCAGAAGGACACATGTGGACCTTAGGGAGGTGTTGGCAGCTGTGCTGGGAATTCTGGGAGGGGGGGGGGGCAGCGAGGTGACCTCTCTCAATGCAGACTTTGTTGATCATGGCCTGCGATTGTATGCACCGTGCTAGTGCACAACGCCGAGGAGGGTGATTAGATATATGGAGTCTTGCCTCACCTTGAGCTGATATACTCATTTTCTAAACTGTACAGGCCTTGGACGTCAGTCGCATCTGCTACTTAAATATCGACATAGACCTCAGTGAAGATAAAGCGGCACTCTGAGCACTATTGCCTGACAACCACTTCAAAAGCAGAAACTCACCAAGAAGTAGCCTTCTGCGATACCATGCTGCATACATTCATAGTGAACCTGCCGAAACAGACGTTTGGCACAATCTGGGAACTGTATAGCTCAAAGCTGAATGATTCTGAGCAGGAATGCAAGAAGAGCTGAGGGACATGAGTTCAACTAGCTCTGTGATAGCTGGCCGCTGGCACAGCAGTGCAGTCTTTTTGCAGCCATTCTGGTAGGAACAGAGTCATGGTTGCTTGATCACTGAATCTGTCCCAAGGAATGACGGGCGATCAGAACCGGGCTGCATGATGTGCATCTGATTATCCAATAATGAGTGCTTCGTGATGACCAGAATAGCGGTGATATCAATGGGAGTTGGAGTAAATGTAGACGGCATCATGGGTATTAGATCCTTCATGATACGAATGTTTAGACGAGAATGAATGGGCTGAAGAAACACCCAAAGCTGGCAGCCAAATTGAACAACTATACATCATATATTCAAACATCATGTGAGCAAAAATGATTGCATTCACGTGAGAAGGCAGGCCAGCGTCCAATGTTTGTTGCTAGCCATGGCGTCTGTCAAGAGACAGCAAGGTGAGCCAATACGAGGCAATGAGACAAACGTCGAAGCATCACTGACCTTCACCGGCTGTTATGTGCCTTTTTCTACCTGACTGCAGCAAAGCCATGATACGCAAGAAGCAAGAAACTGCATCTCATGGAACTGGTTGATTTACAGCTAAAGAGTTGGAAGACGTGCAGTTTGGGTGCGATCTGGTGCTATGCATGATCTCCCGCAGATGTCTTCCGATGACAACTGTGGATGAGATTTGGGCGGAAGCTGGGCCCTCAGCCACATTTTCCCTGGTGAGATTCAACCTCAACAGGCAGTGATCTGCCAGAATCTGAGGGTCTGAAATTTTCTGAGGTGTGACAAATTGGAAGGACCCCATCTTACAGTTGGTCACGTGTGAGCAGTTCTTTTTATGTGATATTGTACACCAGCCTCCCATCCATCCATGATTCAAGTGCTGTGTGCATGGAAGCTCCTGCTCACTCAGTTCCCCTCTCTATCACATGCCACACAATTTGCGGCCATGACCACATGGGCACACCTTCTGTGCCCGCTCCTTCACTTTTGACATAAAAGTGACAAGGCAGGCAGTCAGGCAGTCTGAGCCAGAGGACAAGCGTGATGGGATGTGGGGAGCCTACCATGTGCCGGCGATGACTGAGAGCAACAGATGCGAGGGACAAAGAGGTGGGTTGTGGGTCATCACACCGGCAATGATGTGAGAGTGCACAGACTGTACTGTGGCATGAATCAAGCGACATAATAATGATGTGTGACATCATGCATCAGTCTTCACAAAGAGTGTCACAGGCTGACATGAGGCTTGGCAGCACGATTATCCATCAGCGCTCCCTTCTGGAACCCTTCAGTTTTTGAGTCCTTTTTTTTTTAAAAAAATACATTTTTATATCACCTGAAGGGCGATTGGAGGTGTGTAAATACATGGTGTGTAGAAACGGAGGACCAGATGCATCTGGGGGTGAAGAAATTTAATGTACGGACTCCCGGTCCCTATGGACGCAACAGAGCAGACGTATAGTAGAAGGGCAGAAGGCCCGGTAAGCTGTGTCATGGATCACGCAAGCGCCGATAACCTAACAAACTGCATATGCCCAACCAACACGATAACCACACCACAGCAAGTCCGTTGACTCATTAGGAACACTGTTTAGGGGAGATCGAACCTTCAAGATACTCCCACCTAACTAACCTCATCACCCCTCTTGAGGGAGGGAGTTACCCAGTTGACTTTGAGGAGAGCTCAGCGGACCAGGGTTAGTGAACTGCATGATGGCAGATCGAAGGGTGGAACCAGTTGATGGCCAAAGAGATGTCAGGGTGGGAAGGGGAGGATAACGTAAGAAAATTGACAGCAGGAGTGGGTGACGTGCAGCGAACTCTACCACGTAGCAGGCTGGATAAAAACTGATCCCCTGTGATTAAGTGTTGCTGCACCAGCATGTTGATCCCGTATTCAGTGTGGGCATGCCTGGTGACAGACAAAAAGGGCAGACAGGGGGCGATGGAATAGGAATGAAGGAGCATGGTGGGATGGAAAAGTTGTGCCTGCCACTACATGGTGACATCTGAGTCACCAGCATTGGGTGGCATGGGGCGCTCGAAAGATGTTGGTGAAGCAGTGCCAGCATTCCAGAATTGAGTGCATTTAGGGCACTGGTCGGAGTCAGCATGGTGAAGACCATGGCAGTTCATGCATCGCGCATGAGCACAGGGGTCAGAGGCAGCGCGATTCTCCTTCATGCACATGGTGCACCGTGCTCGGTGCACCAATTTGAGGTGACGGCCAGCACACACACAGCACTGGGGTGACTTCGTGCAACCTGCAATGAGATGGCCATATCCCCAGCACCTCGTACACTGTCAGAGGCATGACATGGTGATGGGGGTACCGAAGGTGAAGAGGGGAGTGCAGAGGAAGGCAGTGAGATGAGAGCCATCTGGGTCTTCAAAGCTGAGGACGACAGATGATTGAGCACCATTGATTTGCTCAGGTCGACGTGCCCAGCATGGAGGTTGGGTGATGCGGAGGCACGCAAGCGTGGGGTTCTTCATGAGCTTAGTCGACAGAGTTGACATCGAGTGGACCACATCGCCTGGAGCTGTCCTGGTGCTGACATTGCCTATGAGGACCCTAGACCACTTGACGTCTCTGGAGACATGTTGATCTGAATCGAGCTTGAGGGCAGCACGAAGGGTTAGGAGGTGTTCGTCAATGCAGCGGTATGAGGTGGTAGCAGGAAAAGCCAGGATAATGTTGCCAGAGGAGCTCGGGTAGGCCACGAGTGTAGCCAGTCCTCCAGCAGTCAGTATCGCAGCCAGTGCTGCATTCACATCACTGACAAGTTAGGCGGGGGGCATCTGAAGCAGGTGTGTCAGTGCAGAGCCAGCAAAATGAACCACATAACTCAAGGGCTCTGGGGTGTGCTTGGGCCCAGGAGCCTTCGGGGAAGTGGGTGGATTCAGAGTTGTCACAGGAGAAGCTGGACGAGATGTTGCAGCTGTCACCACATATGAGCACTTCTTGAAAGTGCCACATACCTGATGTTTGGGAGGAGGGGGGGGCCTCCGCCTGTGATGGGGGGGGGTCACAGTCACTATTCAAGTCTTCAAGGCATCAAGCCTGGCATCGAGGGCAGTACGAAAGTCCTGGAGGGCCACCGTGAGGTCAGGTCCAGTAGTCATTGAGGCAGGGGTGGGCTGGGTGGTTGGCATTGAGTTGGGGGGTACCGCTGACACATCACGAAGGGCATCGAGAGCAGAGTGGCACCGTGCAAGCAGGAGGGTGTTAGCATTGATGGTTTCCTTGTTGCGTCGCAGTTGCAATGTGAAGGTGGAGTGCATGGCCTTCTTTACCACAAAAACTGCATTGATGAGGGAGTCCATATCATGCAGAAACTCAGAGGGGCCCTGAGTCAGCCATGGTCGGAGAGCCTGACGTATAGCCAGGATGAAGGCTGGGGTTCCAGAGGTAATATCATACTCAGAGGCAGAGGGTGCAGGGGAAGACCCCCAGGCGCTATGTCAGAAAAATCCTTATCTGATTAGAATGCGTTACAATGCATTGTAACACCACAATAGATTTCCACCATTGTGATTCATTGCAATAAAGTACAAATAATTGCAATTTCATTGTTATCTAAGCGCCTATCATTGCAATGCCATTGCAAGAGTCGAGGTGCAGCTGAGCCAGCCAAGCAAATGCAATGTGTTCCAATTATATACCTGTGATTGCAATGCATCACAATTCCAAGCGCTGACTGGACAGGTCAACAAAAGTATTTCGACCAGAGACATGAAAGTTTTTTTTGATCTCAAACAATCTCACTGCATAGGAATCGAACTCTGTCTTACCGAACTTGAGACAAATTAAGTATACCTTACCATTTGACTATGGAGCCATTATTGTACATGCTTAATGAATTCTAATAACACGTTTTCAAAGCTGCAGCCGATTCACGAGGTATTCACTCGACATGATAGTTCTAACATGACTATCTGACTATCGCGCTTGTGTGCGAGAACGCCGTGTATGCACATTAACAGCTGGCTGCTCCTCGGTAACATTTTGACTTCAGCCCCAGCCCTAGGCATCTGCACAACAGAATTCTGCACATTTAAGTTCTGGAATGCTGTCAGCAGCTGCTGTTCAACTGTAGATTCAGTGCCTGGATAGTTCACATGGGAGCTCGAGCCTGCAATATTCAGACGATACTTAAGTAAGGTGCACAGGGATGATGAATATTAGTGTCAGCCTCACCTGGAGCCAACGATGGAGTCTGCACCACAGTAAGAGGGGTTTCCATTTGAGAATGGCTGAGGTGGGGTCGCATCGCCAAAGTGAAGGGAGTATGAGCAGTGGAATCAGCTTCAACAGTGGTGGCATGATGGACGGGGACAGAGCGTGCTCAGAGAATTGCAGGCACATAATTTATAGCAGCATGCAGGGAAACCATGTGGGTGAGAGCCATAGTTCGAGTGATTGTATTAGTGGATGTCACAGTATATTAGCACTTCCCTATTCAGAAGGCCCTACTGTAACTGGACTCAAGCAGCGTCACCAAAGCCAGCCACAAAAGCCACGCGACATCATTGATGATCAGCTAAGTGCTCAAGGATCTTATCGATTGTTTGCGCCAATCGACACATCACGTGACCCACAAGGTAGCGCCCCATCAAGCACCCCTGGCACGTGACCTTAAGAGATGCCCAAGCACCTGACATCCTGATAGCTGCTCAATAGGCTTGGGCATAGGCACGGGACACCGAGGTCTGGATTGGTAAGGAGGTCGGCCTTATACCTCATGGCCG